CAGGACATTGATCGATACTAATCTAGTCCATCGGCTAAAATTATTTTCAACTATACAGCGTGTCTCAAAAATAAGTTTCAATAAAACACCATACGTTTTTAGCGTTTTTGGATGTAGATTTTTATGACAATGTTTTTAAACTTTTTTTAAACTAAACTTTTATTGGTCGATTTTGCTTAGTTTTAAAAATAAAAGGGGTTTTTTGACGAAAACATGCACTTTTAAAAATTTATTACACAAAAACTAAGACATCTAGAAATATTTTTTTTACTACCACAAAGAAGAAGGTAGGTACAAGCTATAAGGTTGCAAAATTTTTTTAATGTGTTACATTTGCAAAGATAAAAAAATTAAGACCTTTGTTAAAAATTCAATAATTTTAATGAAACACCCTATTTATTGTTAAAACAATTGTCTTTCTAAAATTCGTTTCACTCGAGGTTTAAAAATCCACTTCGTGAAATAATAAATCCGATTTACCCTCAAACTCGTAGAATAAATAACTATTTTAATTAAAAAAAAAATGTGGTTAAAAATTACTTGATCCGAGTTTGTACTTCCAGATTTTGTTTGAATCACTCGATAGGATATTGAAAAAAAAAATTTGTAGTCAAATCTTGTTTTTAAACTATTTAGCATTAATCCAACAAAAGTTCAACAGAACAAATTGCTAAAAAATTATTTAAATCGAAAAAAAAACCTAACAAAACACACTTTTAGAGCCTAATTTTACAATTTTCTAAATTTATTCAACAAAATTTTTGAGAGATTTTTTACGAGAATTATCTCTCAAATTATGACAAAAAATTGAAAAAAAAAAAGACATTTGATTGGGATTTATACCTTCGAGTTTTAAAAAAACTACTCTAAGTTACGCATTTCGAGTCAAAGTAACAATATTTCATTTACTTTTTACTAAAAAAAAATTTTAATTAAAAAAAATCCGGTTAAAAATTATTTGATCTGAGATCTTGTTAAAATCACTCGATGGAGAAATTTTTTTGTATTCAAATCTTGTTTTTAAAATATATAGTATAATAGATTTTTAAAAAGTGCATGTTTTCGTCAAAAAAAACATCTTTTTCTAAAACTAAGCGAAGTCGACTAATAAAAGTTTAGCGTAAAAACATTGTTTTAAAAAGGCTACATCCAAAAATGCAAAGAAAAAATACGGTGTTTTATTTAAAAAAACATAAGTTTGTATCGTAACTTATTTTTGGGACATGCTGTATGGTT